GTACGTAATGTGGAAGTTGAATCTTGAAAAGAATAGTGCCCATCTTGCCTGTCGCGGGCGTAGACGCTTGGCGGTTCTCAGATATTCCAGGTTTTTGTGGTCAGTAAATATTAAGATGGGGTGCACCGCACCTTCCAGCAGGTACCTCCATTCCTCTAACGCTGTTTTGATCGCCAGTAGCTCTCGATCACCGATATCATAATTCTTCTCCGCTGGGGTAAGCTTCCGTGAGAAGAATGCTACAGGATGGAGCAGTTCCTTGGTGCCTTTCCGCTGGGAGAGGATGGAACCTACCGCATTCTCCGATGCATCCACTTCCAAGATATAGGGCAGGGCGGCGTCTGGGTGACCCAAAATGGGTGCCGAGGTGAACAGCTTCTTCAAGGCTTCAAAAGCTTCCTGCGCCTCTGGTGTCCATCTGAACCGGGTTCCCAGCTTGGTTAGCTGAGTATTGGGGGAGACCAGACTCGAGAAGTTCTTGATGAACTTCCGGTAAAAAATTTGCAAAACCGATAAATCGTTGGACGCCTTTCCTATCCGTGGGTTCAGGCCAATCCAGTATTGCAGCGACTTTCTGGGGATCCATCGCGACCCCCGCGGTGGAGATAATCAGGCCCAAGAAGGTAATGCTGCATTGTTCGAAACAACATTTCTCTGCCTTGGCGTACAACCCATGCTGCCGCAATCGCCCCAATACCCTTGCTACATGTATTCTGTGTGTTCCCCCAAAGAAGGGGAAGAAAAATCAGAATGTCGTCTAAATAAACGATAACAAAGACATCCAGAAAGTCCCTAAAAATATCATTCACAAAGTGTTGAAACGTGGCCGGAGCATTACACAACCCGAACGGCATGACCAAATATTCAAAATGGCCAAAGCGGGTGCGGAAGGCCGTCTTCCACTCGTCCCTCTCCCTTATGCGAATCAAGTTGTACGCCCCCCTCAAATTCAGCTTTGTAAAAAACCACTGCTGTTTTTAAACTTTGGAATAACTCCGGTACTAACGGCAGTGGGTAACGGTTCTTTATCGTGACCCTGTTCAATTCCCTGTAATCGATACACGGCCTTAAGGTTTTGTCTTTCTTTTCAACAAAGAAAATTCCCGCCCCCGCCGGTGAAGTGGAGGGGCGGATGAACCCCTTCTGGAGGCTGTCCTCGATATATTCCTTTAGGGCCCCCAATTCGAGCTCAGAAAGGGGGAAGATTCACCCAAAAGGAATTTCTGAACCGGGGTAACAGGTCAACGGGACAGTCATAAGGGCGGTAGGGGGGGTAGAGTATCGGCTCCCCGTTTGCTGAACACATCTAGAAACTCATGGTAGGCTGCAGGGATTACTTGTTTTAATTCAGCTTCCCCCTCAGAGCACAGGAGGATTTGGGGGACCCCCGGGCCCGAAGTGCGGCAGTATACCCGACAGTATGGGGAAGGGAACGAGATTACTCCGGTCTCCCAGTCAATCTGGGGGTTATGGGCCCGTAACCATGGGAGCCCCAGAATGACTGGGAAGAGGGGTGAAGCTATAGCATCCAGGCGGAGGAGTTCCTGGTGCTGGCTGGCAATGACAGTGGCGATGGAGGGGGTTTCCTGGTTCACTACCCCCGATTTTAAAAATTTAAAATTAATATCCAAGAAGCAGCTGCATGCCCCCAAATCAACTATGGCCGATACTTCCACGGTCCTTTCTGGAAGCTGAAAGGAAAGGGGCACCACTAAGTATTGGGATGGACCAACATTGCCAATGGATAAGGAAGAAGAGGTGCACTTACTCAGTTTCTGCGGGCAGGATCGTACCATATGACCAGCTTCACCACAGTAGAGGCACAGGTTCTGGGATCGTCTGCGCTGATGTTCCTCTGGAGATAGTTTAGGCCGTGCCAGGCCGAGTTGCATGGGTTCAGGGATATCTCCAGGTGGCCGGTTCTGGATGTTTGGCCTAGGTGCTTGACTGGGACCTTGAAATGACCCCCAGGGATTTCCATGACCCTGGCCGGACCTCTCAAACCTGCGTTCCCGCAGTCTACGGTCAAATTTAATGGTCAGTGCTATTAAGTTCTCTAAAGTCTCAGGCACCTCCACCCGGGCGAGCTCATCTTTCAGGCCTTCTGATAGGCCTATACGGAACTGATGCAGGAGTGCGAACTCGTTCCAGCGTGTGTGTCCCATCCAGCGCCTAAACTCAGACGCGTACTCCTCCGCCGCTCGGCGGCATTGCCGGAGCGTGTACAAAGTAGCTTCAGCAGAAGCTGCCCGCTGTGGGTCATCATATAGGATGGCCATTGTGTCAAAAAAATTGTCAGCCGAACTAATGTGAGGGTCATTTTTTCCCCGCAATCAGTGGGCCCAGTCTTGGGGTTCACCCTGCAGGAGGGAGATGACAAACCCCACCTTCACGGATTCAGTCACGAAGGTCCGGGGTTGTAACTCAAAATAGAGAAGACAGGACTCACGGAATGACCTAAAGCGTGTGCGGTCCCCGTGAAAATGTTCCGGTAAGGGTACTCGGGGTTCGGCCGCCGGGAGTGGTGCGGACGCCCCAGAAACCGGCACAGGGGCTGCTACAGCCGGGGGTGCGGGGACCGCGGCCTGTGGGGCAGAAACGGATATAGTACAGGTCTGGAATTGGTTTTCAATCTGCTGACATCTATCCTGCAGGGCCGATACGGCCTGTGTCAAATTAGACAGGTGCCTGCAGATCTCCTCAAGCGGTGAGGGCCCTCCTCTAGACTCAGTCATGGCCTTCTGGTACTGTAAGGGACCGCCTGGCGGTACCACTAGCACTCCACTGAATAGGCGTCCCCAGCGCACGGAATCTAAGTCCCAGGGTGCTTGTTCACCAGGGCCCCTGATGGTGGGGATGGACTTGGAGCCCCCCGAGACCAGGTCGTGGCTACTGGGTGCGTCTGTCAGTGGTAGTGGTATGCGCCAAGGGCTCCCACGGGGAGGAGTCTGGTATGAGGAGGTCAGAAGACCCCACTGCAAGGGATGGATGGATGAGCAAGGTCAGACGGGCCGGGTCGGTAACAGAGAGGACGGCAAGGTACAAGGCAGCGGGCGTAGAATGGTCGGGTCACACGCCAGGTCAGCAACAGCAGGTCAAATCCAATAAGGGGCATTCAGGAGAGAGGTCAGGCAAAGCAAGGGTCAGAATAGGAGAAAGCAGCAAGGTCAGGTACAATCCGGGTCAAAAACTTACAGGGTACAGGTTCACAGGATACAGGATGCAGGGAAGACCAGAAGGCACTGAATGACAGCTCAGGGCCATTTAAATATCCCGCCCTGCGCTGCCATTGGTGCCCAGCGGGCGGCCGGCCGCGGCTCCTACTGCGCATGCGCGAACTCGAACGCCGCGGCCGGCCCGGACCTAGTGCCCGTGTCCCTGCACAGGGCGGTGCACTGCGCCTGTGCCGGGACCATCGTGGCGGGGATCGAGGAGATCCCTGACACCATGTGACATAAAAAATTGCAACACCCACCATTGTATTCTCTCGGTCCTCTATTTAACTGCTTCCCACCCGCCCTATAGCAGAAATATTGCTACGGGGAGTCACGGGTGCGCAAAAGCACGTGTATGCAGGTGTGTATTTACCACAAGGCAAACAAGGCATTTGCCTAGGGTGGAATTTTTCAGGGGGGGCAGCACTGCCCCTTGGAAGAAGAAGGGAAGGAAGAAGGGACACACACGGCATGGTGACCTGGTGGGTTCCGAGAGATGCTGTGGGTTTCATGACGGTATATGCAGAGCCTGACTCTCGTACCTGGGGATGTCCGGAGCTGTGAAGGTAAGTGTCTTTCTCTCTCTCGCCATGGGGGATGGTGTCTGGTGTATGGGGGGAAGTGGTATTTGAAGGCTTGGGTGTATATATATATATATATATATATATATATACAGTTGTGTTCAAAATAATAGCAGTCAGACATCACTAACCTGATCAATCACTGTTTTTGGTAGAAATGATATTTCTACATGGCAAATAATTTACTAGCAGGTGTAGTAGAGTAATAGAAATCCAACAGACCCAACAGTCATGACATGCAGGCTGCTGATTCTGTGTAATTGAATCACTCATTGAAAGGGGCATGTTCAAAATAATAGCAGTGTGGAGTTCTATTAGTGAGGTCGTTCATTCTTTGAAAAACAGAATGCCCGGCGCAGTCCCGCATATAAGTCGCTGTCGCTGATCGCCACCATTACTAGTAAAAATAAATCCCAGTATATATACCATCATTTGTAAATGCTAGAATACATTTTGGCATAAATTCATGACAAAATTTGAATTTTTTTTACTTTTTTTACTGGACATGTTTACTAGCAAAAAGTCAAAAATATTGTTTTTTTTTCTCAAAATTGAGTCTTTTTTTTTTTTTGGAGAGCGCAAAAAATAAAAAATGTAGAGGCAAACAAATACCACCAAAAGAAAACTCAATTCATGAGAAAAAAGGATATAAATTTCAGTTGGGTGCAGCGTTGCATGACTGCGCAATTGTCAATTACAATAATGCAGCGCTATAACGCAAAAAATTACCCGGTCAGGAAGGGAGGGGGGGTAAATCCTCTGGAGGCCAAATGGTTAAATATCTCTCTCTCCATATATATATATATATATATATATATATAATAAAATAATATGTTTGGGGGTTCTAAGTAATTTTCTAGCAGAAAATGCTGCTTTTACATGTAGAGGAATGTCAGAAGTGGCCTGGGTGGGAAGTGATTTAGTCACTTTATAAATTCCCCCAAATTCGCCGTTCTGTAATGTGATGTAGCGAGCTGGCCCTAGATGGAGTGTAAGCTCCTGTGCCCTCTCCCTGGAGTAGAGGAGGATCTGAGGCCGGCCAGTAATGACACACATCTTCCAGCATCAGTGTGCTCAGTGATCCCGCCCCCTCACACTCCACCAATAAGAGAGCAGACATCGTCATGCGGGGGCGGGGTGGACATAACAGAGGGAGACGTGAGTCAGGACCGGCCATAGAAGGAGGCTGGAGATCCAGGGAAGCATGGCAGGAGACAGCGAGCAGGCTCTGCCCAACCACACGCCGCAGAACGGGCCACCATTCCTCATCGGGGTCAGCGGAGGCACGGCGAGCGGGAAGGTGAATGAGGGGGGCTGTGCAGGGGGAGGGGAGGCTGGGCATGGAGCAGATGGGACCACAACAGATCAATGTGACCGATAACGGGAAGGGAGCGCATGGCTGTGTCCGCCGACAAAGGATGAGCTGGGCTCACAATGAATGACACACGTCTTGTTAGTGGAGTGGAGGAGCCGCTCCTGGGTCCTCGTACTAGATCCTCCCAGGGGATCCGCTCAGAGATCCTCGTCCTAGAGATCACCGGGTTTCTGCTGGGAAGGTGGCCACGTGACTGGTGTACACTGCGCTCCTGCTAACGTGTGCGACATCCGGGGAGGCTGGGGCCCCATCTGGTCCAGCCTTGTGATATTAGTCATTCTTATGTATGATGGTGGAGGGAGATTCCATACTCAGATCCTCAGCCAGGGACTGGAAATCACCAGATTCCAGATGGGAAGTCTGCCATGTGAGTGGACAGTCTACTCTGTACATCGCTCTGCCAACGTGTGCGCCATGCTGTGTCTGGGGGAGGATGGGGTTAACCCTTCCTGGCCTTGTGATTGCTTTCTGCGCGTATAAAAGATGTCACTGCCTCCATGGGACTTCTGATCAGTGTACGTTCCAGCCTTTCCAGGATGATCCTGATTATTTTGTGGTTGGTGATGTCATCTGTGATGAGGACATAGATGGGACCATCAGGAAACGATTGATTCCCTGTGTGACAGATGACGGGAGCCATGTACAGACAGCCACCAATGGCACCTGTGAGCAGACTATGCTGGGGGATTCCCAGAATCCTGTCCTTGTCCCTATAAAACAGCCTGTGCATGATGGGGATCACAGGTTTGGTTACCGGTTCAGGTAGTTCCTAGCTTTCTTCCACTTTAAATTTGAAACTAAACCCTCCTATTGGTTTCAGCCAAGGAAACTGCCACCTTAAAGCAGAGTTCCAGCTGGAAAGTCAGCTACATATACTAGCTGCGGACTTTTAAAATACAGCCACTTACCTGTCCTGCGGTGTCCTCACCACCACTGGTTTCACCGGCCGTCTTCACTCCCTGAGCCGGCATGTTCAGTGTGGGCACCTGGCTGGAACAGCCTGCGGCTTCACAGCCGGGTGCCCACTGTGCATCCGCAAGAAGCGCTGTGCTTTGTGACAGGTCCCAGAAGACTACAGGACCATTCACATGTCACTGAAGACTATGGGGGGGGGGGGGGAGGGGGGGGGGGAGGACAACCTCTGCTTATGCTCACCTGAGGGCTGTCAACCAGGCGGCCCTCCAGCTGTTGCCAAACTACAAGTCCCATCATGCCTCTGCCTTTGGGAGTCATGCTTGTAACTCTCAATCTTTCAATGCCTCATGGGACTTGTAGTTTGGCAACAGCTGGAGGGCCGACAGCTTGACACTCGTGCCTTAGGCGATTGCAGTGGAAGTAGTAGCAGGTACCTGTCATATTCAGATACCTGCCTCTCCCAGCTCCCCAAAGTTGCCAGTCCTTAATGGGGAGCAGAGGACAAATGCTTAAAGAGAACTTCCCCCTTTTGGGTGGAGCTCTGCTTTAACTTCTGTTTGATCTGCAAGTGCCATTGAGCTGCACATGTGATCAGTTATGACACCAGCCATTTGATAGTTTGACAGTTTAGTTGACAGCCGAAGAAAATGTGATGGGAATGTAACTGTTGTTGTGTGGGTTTTTTTTTTTTTTTCTTTTAAACTGTTAAATTGATGGGTTTAGTTCCACTTTAAGAATGTGTTGCCATGGCTGCTCCATATTAAATAAAAAAAGATCACCGCCAGTTAGGCTCCTCTCATGCTGTACCCTTTCAAAAACACAGCAAAAAAGGCACATGTGTTTTTTTTTTTTTTTTTTTTTTTTTTTTTTTGAAAGAGCGGTGCTAAAGTAGTCTAACTGGTGGTAACTGTTTTACTGTGGTTTTACAACTGAAAAAACACAGGTGGTGACTCAAAAAAAAGTGCAACTGTGGGTTCATTTTGTGAATATTTTTTTTTTCTTCTTTCCACATTGTAATGCCTTTCCATTCATTTCAATGGGGAGGTGTGTGTTTGCTTTTTTGTGCTAAACATGTGGCAAGCAGAACTTTAAAAAAACGTAACCAACCAATGTGAAACGTTCCATAGGATTTAATGGTCATGCATTTTTTCTTCTTTTAACATAAAAACGGATCCATGTGAATGCAGCCTTTTGTCAGTGCTCAGACGGATCAGTTATCTGTTGTACAGATACACCAGTGCTCAGAGTGAGGCATGTCTGTGCTAGAAGGCCAACAGGTGCATGATGGATTCCCACACAGGGTTTCTTGGTTGCTATGGAGCTGGCTGTCCCCTGGCATCTTGGCAACCAGTGCCTTTTCCCCTGCCCCATTCAGCTGACAGTTAATTGTAAACAAAGGGGAGGCCATGTTGGTGATGTCATTACTCAAATTTGACAGGGACCACTGAGCTGGCAGCTGAATGAGCCTGGAATAAATCATTGGTGGTTATGACGCTGGAGGCTGCACAGCCAACCACCTCTTAAAAACGAATGGGGTTGTACTTTGGAGGGGGGGTGCTGTGAACTTGGGGTTGTGGCTGAGCCTGTTCTGGAAATGGGAGTATCTAGTCTGGACACTCCAGCCTCAATGCTCCACTATTTGTTTCTGACAGCGTCATGAACTCATCGCAGGCACAGACAGTTGTGCTTATAAATTCCAGACATTGTTTGTATTGTTTTATAATGGTCCGCTTACAAGGAATTTAAAGGATAGGTCAACCTTTTGCAGAAAAATGAACAAATCTATAAAATGATGGTGTTTTTTTTTTTGTGATCTGTGGATGGCACGAACAATACCAGGCCTCCTTCAGCTTTGTCTGCACTGGATTTCTGTTAGAGATCTGGAGGAAGTGTGAATGGATGACGAGTGCAGTGATCACCACACTTGTCTTCTATTGAGAACAAAGGCTGTTTGCTGGAGTGGAACATGGGACTTGTATTTTATTTATTCACAGACTTGCGTGAGGGCTTTTCCACACCATATGAGTGCATAATCGTACATTTCCTTCACCCTATGGGAACGATAAATGCCTTTGTGCGGGTTGTATTAATTGTTAATGGACCCTAAACACATCTGACAAACATGCTTTTGTGGCCACCAAAACTCATGATACTATAGTACCATGCAGATTGGTGCAGGTGCCATTGTAAAAGCTGCTCCTGCTGTACTTTGTTTTTTTTTTTCTGTCAAAAGTGGAACTTGTGCTTTCCAGTGGGAATTGGCCATGAATGAATGAATGACACAGCTGTGTTGGAGATCCAATTTCAGACCTGACAGCTGCTGCAGGGGTTAAGAACCCCCACATGTCAGTGGACTGTGGGTGCAACATCAGATCTTTGAATGATGCGGGTGGGATTAGTAGTTTGATTAGAGCACAGAAATGAACGTTTTGTCATGGTTTAAGGCCCCTTTCACTTCAGCGCCTTCCAACCTCCATTGTATGTGTTTAGAGCACATTTATAAACACATGAAATGATTTCTCGTTTGTCAGTTACTCTGTGCACTTACCTGCGTTTAGTGTGAACAGTTTAGGTATGTACTGATGGTATTTTACCTTCATGCTTAATATTCATAAAGGTAGGTATCAAACCTTCAGCCTTTACAGGCACTTTAACAATGGATAATGGACCTAGAATGATTTCCCTCACCCCACCGTGCGTAGTGTTATGTCACATGAGATCCTTTTATTTTATTGTAACTATACAGTTTCCTTTTAGTTTTGTAAGCATTATGCAACCTGTAGGCACTGTATAATTCCCTGTATAACAATTGCAAGCAGGGATGTACCAGAAATGAAAATTCTGGTGCTGAAAACAAAAATTCAGGATGCAGTTGGCCCTGAAACCAGAATTGACACTGGCAGCAGGCCGATGTAGTGATTGGTTATCGGCCGTGTCCCATGGACACAGCCAGTTCAAGATCGTGCCGGAGGGTTTCCGCTCGGCCGCCATTGTACAATAGGTTGGGGTGGGAAGAAGTTAAAGGGTGTCAGGTGCGCAGGCTGTGCATGGGATGGGTGTCTTGACACCCCCCCCCCCCCCGACACCCAACACGTTTGCAGGAGGGGTTTTATGTGCTTGGGTGTATTCCCCCCCCCCCCCCCCCCCCCCCCCCCCCCCCAAGCTAAAAATTTGATATCACGTCAGGGATAAAGCCCCCTGCATTGGTATATTAGAAGGCAGGCTCTCTTTGTGACATCAGGGTAATTAAGCCCCGCCCCCGATATCTCACCTTTCTTTCATTGAAGCAGTGGCGTGAAGATTGCTCCGGAGGTCACAGTAAGCAATCAGGCAGCTGTAAAGTGACTAGATCACTTCCATGAGAAAGCTGACAGTTGGCTCAACTAGTGTACATGCTCCTGGCTGCTACAGTGTGTAACCCCCCCCCCCCCCCCCACCCCATCCGTAAGCCTAGTACACACGAACAGAAAATCAGGTGAAAAATGTCGCTTTTCATACGATAATGATTGTTGGCACACCCTTTCATCAGAAATTATTCGAAGTGACAAACCCGAACATTTTTTTTTTTTTTTTTTTTGTACGATACCAGATCGCATGATTTTAGTTTAATCACTACAGTATTTGTTTGAAACACATCTGAAGAGCAAGACCGCATGTGCTCAGAAAAACAAAAGAATACAATGCAACACATTACATCTAAAGTGGTGTTCTGTTGTATGAGAATTTCTGTAACTTTAGTTATCTCCATTTTTGATATGAGACTAGCGTGCAAAATAAAGGGCTATCTCTCGTCCATTGTAGTTGTGTGTACAAGGCTTTAGTGGCAGAAAGTTGAAAGGCAGAACATGAATGCAGGACGTGTTCTGGGGGGCATGAAAGTTTTTGTTCTCGGGTGACTTCTGCTTTTCGGAAAGCTAATCGTAGGAGTACTGGTGTGAATGAGGCCTAAGACATTGTTGTGTTGTATTCTGGAGTGAGGCATGGTTTTCCCCAGTGTGGGTTTGTGACCC